TATAATTTCACACTTTCAAATGCCGGCAAACCTGCCACAATAGCCAAAGGGCGTTTGGCAGTGCGAATAATACGTCGCAGGAAACGTCAAAACTGAAAGCATGTTTAATTTTGCTTTGAAGTCGTCGGTTTCGGTCTCGGGGCCGGGACCGGGCCGGGGCCGGGGTCTGGCAAAGAAATTGGCACAGTTTTTGAATCAGTTCATCCGTGAATTACACTAGTAAACATAGTTTTCAATCCCACACATATTACTACAAAACAAAACAGACAAAGTTTGTTAAACAAACGAAAATGACTTTAGAAACATGTGTATATATCGGATTAGGATTTGATGTTAACATTTCATTATAAAATAATAATAATAATACTCTACAATAATTTGTAATTATTTAATTTTAAATCTTCATATATATATAAAATGTTAATACTTATATATTGTTATTGAATAAATCGACAGATCTACTTGTTGATTTAAATAAATAAATAAATTGAAAATTCTTTACTGGAATGGTTTTAATTTTAGGTGTCTTTTCTTTATATACTATTTTTTATACTTCATCATATTACTTAACAAAATTATCAGTTTATTTATAAAAAATTCAAAATTGTACATGTTTTTTAGATACAAATTATAGATAAACTAAAAGCGCATGACCTTTCTATGCCTGAATGGGAAGAGTTGTTGTATTAGTGGGTTGAACAAAAAAATAGGATATGTAATACATAACTGAATTCATCTAAGTAAGCAGCTAAATACTATTAAGTAGTAGTAGAGTAAGGTCTCTCAATGCATGCAAGTTTTTTTTTTGTAGAAATGAAGTAGAAAAAGATTAAGTTCGTTTTTTTTTTAATTTTGAATTGTTTTTAGCTTTACATAAAACCCCAGCTTCAGATATTTGGGTTCGTATTGTACATCATTTTTGTAACCTAGTGTTATTTGTTTATTAATTATTTGCTGAATTGGAAGAGTTGTTGTATTAGTGTAGTATTAGTGTAGTATTAGTTGAAAAAAAAGTGGTATCTCAGCCAAAGATGTCTTGTGGTATCAAAATTAATTGATTTGCGCGGCATTAGATTGTTGTAGAATTCTTTTTTTAAGCCACAAACCGATTAGGAAAACATAACTCCAAATAGTTAGTAATTTGGCAGTCAAAGCTCGTAAATTTGTCGATTTTTGGCGCCTTTTTGATTGCTATATTGGCGGGCGTAGACGGCATTTAGTCACGTCGTCTGTTGGCAACACCCAGTCGAGGTGTTGCACATGCGCCTTCTCTTTTGGGGCTTAATAACTAACCAAAGAGAGCATCTTGCGCCACTTAGACACGTCTAGGCAGTGTATTTGGTCACTTTAGTTGATAACAAAAAAAAAAAAAAAAACAGCGGAATAGTGACGTTTAAAAGGCATTTATCATTTAGTTATTTAATTGCCATCTGCGATAGTTACGGAATTTTGTCATATTTTTTTATACTTGTCAATTGTTTTTGGCTCTTAATACCTCTTTTAAATAGTGGAACATTTTTTAGAAAAGAGTAGAGATCTATGATAAGGGAAAAATATGAAAATACTACTCATCACTATTTATTATAGAAATAAATTATAGTACACCTAATTCTGATTTAACACGCTTTGAAAATTATAAAATTTCATATATGCTTGCACGACTTTATTCCATTTAGCACGATTGAAAATAACATATGATCAATGTATTTTTTTACACGACTTTTTTTTAGAACCAATTTACCGTGTAAAAACAGAATTAGGGTATACCCTTTTTTTAAAGTCACTTTTGTAAACTTTAAATTAAGCGGATTGTTCTTAGCCTTAAGCGTTAATTTTATACAAACAGCTTTAAAGTAGCAGAAATTCATAAGTATATTCAAGTAAGAAATATATAACAATTTGTTTGTTAATAACATATCATCGAAAAACATTTCTTTTTTTGGGCATTGCACACATTTCTTAAAATGAAGAACAAACTAACACATTAAGTGTTTTATTGTTACCCGCCGTTGCTGATTTTTCAGTCTTTGCGGTTCGAATGTGTGAGTTTTGTGGAAGAAATATCATTTTTGAGGTATCTTTAAAAGAATGCCATGAATTGATCAACAAGTAGAGTAGTGCGGCAGCCCAAATTGATTGATCTATTATTGTTATTGATCTATCAGAAGAAGAGTGTCTCTGGTATTAATCTTGTTATTGAAGTCCGTTGTCAATAAGTGAGCGGAGCCAATTTCTGTGAGATACGAGTATAGAACTTAATGTCGATCAGCATAAGACAGTCGCCAATGAAATAATTTGTCATGCATAGCCTTGCAGCTGTTGTTTTTATACAAAATACCACCGCAAGAACAAATATGTCTTTAGCTCAACAATTTTACGCTTGTCCATTTAAGCTTGTTTTCTGTTTTCGCATTCGCCGTCTCCATCAAGCCGAAATACAGTTATTGAGAGTGCCAAGCGTTTGAAAAATATGCAGTGAGTTATGTACTAGACCTTGTTATTTTAATGTCTCAACTTGTGCCTAATGCTGGCTTTAATTGCGCGCAAAACTGAGTAGCCGGCATGGAGACAGAGCAATGGACAGACCGATGGACAAAGCAGGGGACAGAGCAATGGTCAGAGCTCTGGCCAGCTGGACGACAATCCGCCGACACGTGTCACTGAGGTAGTCCAATCAAAAGCAGAGCATTGCTTTTAGAATGTGGCTAAGTTGTCATTTATGTAGTTTCGTCGTCTATTGCCAAATAAAACAGCTTCACCATAAATATTCATGGAGATATTTGGCTGCTTGTGCAATGACTGTTCAAAATTATTTCGACATAATTTATGGCAAAAATGTATTTTATTGAATGCTGATCGAGACACCAACGCAGATACATACATACATACATACATATAGTATAGTAGTACATACATACTATACATAGCTACTTATGCACAGCCATCGAGTAGCAATCAGCAACTTAGAGCGTTGGAGCCAACTAATGTCCAACTAATGGCGAAGGTCAACTGCAAGCGCATGCAGCTAACTAGACCAGCGCCATCGGCAGGTGTGAATTGGCCAACTTAGCACCGTTTTAATTAGTTCAGCCAATTCATTTGCGATGGAATTCAAGTGAAACGGATATTTGAGCGGGCTCTTTGAGTTTGCGCCGCCACCGGCCAGTGCCGCCACTTTGATTGAAGTCTGGCCATCAAGTGTGGCAACATGTTCAAATGCTGGTGACACAATGCGCGATTTGTGGGGGCCGCGACAGAGTCAGTTCTGCAATTTGCATTGCTGCCGTTTTTGGGAGAATTATGGTCGAATTATGCTAATCACTTCCGCCTAGCAAAGCAGCAAAAAAAAGTAAATAGCAAAGCAAATATTTAAATGCTATGACTGCCCATCTGGCAATCGCTTTTCGTTACCAACAATGTCACTCAGCCGAGGTCGAGCAGAAAAAGAAATGGCGGCTCTGCCTGACAAGCTTTCTATATCTTTCGTAAGCTCCGTCTCTCCGATTTTGGTCATTTCCAAAGTAAAATTGTGAGTGGCACTAAAGGTTTCTGCACACGCACAGCTAACTGCCACACATCTGACATTTTTCTGACTTACATACCCACATATGGTTGTTTAGTTCATTCGTGGTGTTTATATTAATATTTTCGATTCATTATTATATCCTTTAGCTGCCATAGGAACAACAGGGTTTAAAAAATGCAACATTTGTTGTTTATAAACAGTGATTTTTTAAAGCACATAGTATTTATTTAAAGGGAAGACAATAAAATTGTCTAAAAAACTCTAAAGAATCCATTATTGAAGAATGGGGAAAATTGGAAATTTCCAACCTTCAATCGTCAGTATATTCTGTGCCAGGACGACTCAAATAAAAAAGGAGAATCAACTTAACTCTTAAGTTAAGGCCCTTAAATATGAAGAAGTACGATTTATTAATTTATTCTATTTACTTATTTCGCTTATATAGTGAGTCTTTGGCGAGGCTATACAAATAAAAGTAGGTAATAGATAAAAAAAAATAAAAAAAATACATATAAAATTGATTTATTTTGTTCAAATATTATATATAGTTCAGTTATTACATATAAATTGTGTTGTCCTATTAACTTATAAATTTATAAATATTTTATTTTTAATTTTATTTTTTTATCCATTAGTTTTAATTGTATGGCCTCGCCAAAGACTCACTTAAATTTTAGCTTTTTAAGTTTAAAAAAAATGTATTTATGAAATATAATATGTACTATATGTAGTTCAGTTGTCACATTAAAATGTTGTGTGTTGTCCTATTTACTTAATTCCCGCACCTCATGTATATAAGCTTGGACCCACAGTTCCGAGACCAACGTGCTATGTGTATGACTATATTTTGTTTGTCCGTTTAAAAACAAATAATTGGCGCGCTCATTATACGACCAAGAGTCACAAATCAGCACTGAATTACTCATTTATAACTACCCATTGGGCGTCCCTGTATCTGGAGCCACGAAAGTAAGGCACAACTGCAATTTGTCACACCTATTTTTGCACGTTTTATAAGCGCCTTATAAGGTCTAATTAACAGTTGCTAAGACAATTAAATGTTTTGTGGTCCACAAAAAATGGCATATTACAGAAAAAACTGCGTTAATTTGTAGCGTAATCAGTGAGTCTATCTGGCCATCGAGCGAAAATGTTTATTAGTTGTTGGCCTGCAGTTTGTGCCGTTTTCTCAAACGGAATAAGGCTAAAAATGCGCGTCAACTTTTGTTGTTGGCCAAGAATTGTTATTGTGATTGCCTGCCTGCCTGCCTGCCTGCTGCCACACTGTTGGTTTTGTTTCGATTTGTTTTCTTTTTGTTTGTTTTGGAAATTTATGGCAAAAATTAATTTCTTGATTTCCCACGGCTGACCAGCAGCAACCTCAAAAGCTGATTAGTTTGGCGGGACTGTTGCAGCACTCTAATGAAGTCGATAAGTGGGTCAGTTTCGGAAATTGGAAATAAAAGAACGAATGCTTGTTTTAGATTTTTTTATTATTTGTTATATAGTCTGTGTTGCTTATGCATAATAGCTTGCGTTGGAAAAACAAATTGGTATAGAATTATTCTGCCAAGTTAACGTATTTTAACAAACAAACAAGTATTGATGTTGCTGCTGTTGGGATGAGTAGAAAAATGTTTTGTTAACTTTGCACAGTTGCCGGCCAATACCCATGATTTGTACTACGGAAGTCTCAGTTAAAGCTTAACCTAAAAGTATTTAAGATTAGCGGTTAGTGCAAACAAATTGCCAAGAACATTTATATCTGTGGAATATATGTATAGTAGTTGGTAAGAACACAAAACGGTGGGAGAGGCAGTTGAGAGGGCAGGCCGATACACTACGAGTATAACTTAGGAGGGGGTGTGGGTCACCATATAGCGACCGCGACGGCGGAAGGGGTTCTGCACGATCTCGCGATACAGCGTGAAAATGGGCACCCATTTGGGGAAGCGGGGGCGGTACACATTAGGGCGGTGGCTGCAACAGGGCGTGGCCTGTTTATGTGTGACAGTGGCAGCAGTTTTGTTATTGGTATGAGTAATAGCATTGCGTATGGTGATGGTACGGGAGCTGGGCACATGCCGCGAAGGCAGGCCTAGGTAGCAATCAATGGGTTGCCAGAGCTGCTGGAAAAGACGCTCAAAGCACCACTCGATGCGACGATGGAGGCGGTAGCGGGGCGCAGGAAACACACAGGGCTCGAACACAAAGCGGCGTTGCGTGCTTAAGTCATAAATATTGTTACCTGTCATCACTTGCATGAACTCTGAAAATGCAAAGCAACACATATTATAGCGATATACTTGTATTATTACCTTTCTGTAAAGGCTCACCATCAAAATCAACTGTGCCCGAGCCGTCGGCATCAATTTCCTCAATAATCAGGTCCAGATCCTGATTTGAGATTTTGTCGTCTAGTTCGTGGAGAATGCCGCGCAGAGTGGCCACGGTTAGGTAGCCCTTACCCTCCTTGTCGTAGACACGGAACGCCTCCTTCAGCTCGCTCTGTAGCGCGGCCACATCCTCCTCCACCTCTATAAAACGGGCCGCCAGCTTGCAGAATTGGCTGAAATCTAATTTTCCGCTGTTGCCTTTGTCGACCTCCTTGATGAGCGCCTTCACTGCCGGCGGCTCCAGTTTCTGGCCCAGGATTTCAAGTATGGCAGACACGTCGGAGTGCTCGATGGTGCCGACGCCATCATGGTCGAAGGCTTTGAATGCATTGCGAAGAACTATGGGATCACGACTCGTGATTAAATTGCCACTCCAAAGTCCCAATGCAGTAATACTTACTTCTCAATTGCTCCTTATCGTACTCAGCCTCAGTCTGTAATGGAAAAACGCACCAGTTTCAGTTCAAAGTGGGAAAGTAGAGCGCGCGAGTGTGTCATAATCCATTTGTCAGATGTACTTGTACAACGATGCGTACACGAGTACGTAATTAAAATGAATTTATGTACTCGCTGAGGATTCGCGCCGCTTTAATTAGCCAAATGTGCCATAGCTGACCTAATTTCTGACAAGGTGCGAAACACAGAATGCTCTACAAATGGCCAACATACGAGTATTTCTTTATGTTATTTTTTTCTTTTCTGTTTTTGGAAGTCAAATTTGGGAGGACTTTTCCGCAACTTATTGAAAATGTACACAATTTACGCAACCTACCCTACAAGTGTCCTCTATAGTGGCGCACCAAATTCGATTACAAATCAAAATCAAGGTCAACATCATTGAAATAGACAATTAGAGTGATTTACTATATTCAACTTTTTTTGTCTTGCCATTTTATGTAACTATCTTTATCGAACACTTGACTCACCATTTTGTGTTTTTAAATGTTTCGATTTCGGGGACCAAGCGGAGAATTTATAAACGACGGGAGGTCTGGACACGCGTAATCCTTGAAAACTGAAGCTGCAATTAAACGAGCAAGTGGACGATGAAAAAGTTCTTCACGGAAATGTATCCGTCAGATGTTAACACTTAGCGCCTATTCGTACCGTCGGGTGCGCGGCAAATACGTGTGCACACTTCCGAACCTAGATAATCACTCAAGAGCGTTGATTTGCATCAATTAAAAAATTACCTTTCGATCAGATCGAATTAGCGCGAGCGTCTAAACGATGTCGATGTGTGTACGACGTGTGTAAAAGCTGCGCCAACGGCAACGGCAACGGCAAATTTTCGGACAGCGGCGCCTCAGTCGGCGCATGTGGCAGCACTGTGCAGTGCAACAGCAGCAGCAACAACAACAACAACATCAACGAGCTAGCGATATTCGCTAAAACTCTGCGATACGAGAAACGCCAAAATGTCGCCGTCGACGCATCCGCGTCTCAATCGATGGCGGGCGGTGCTGCCCAAGTGGGAGAGATAGACTTTGAAGCGTCGATTTCAAATGCGTGCGAAAGAGACGGAAGCGGCGCTACAGCGCACAGTGGTGCTCATTACAAACTAGTAAGTGGCGTAACTAACATATGTGCAGCTTTCAAATCGAACGAATGTCGATATTACTGGACCTGTATGTAATTAGTAAAATGTTACGCTTATAACTGCACTCATGAAATTAAATTCAAATTTAGACAATGAACTATACCTAGAGGTATGTACATATATACACCTAATTCTGTTTTTACACGGTCTTTTTTTTAAACGATTTTGATTTAACACGGTTTGAAAATGAAAAATTGTACATATATACGCGGTTGCACGACTTTATTGCATTTAGCACGATTTAAAATAACATATGATCAATGTCTTTTTCACACGGATTTATTAAATTTAAATATATATACAAGTATTAGCGGTATTCATGCTAGTGATTTTGGGAGTAAAAACAGTAATACACGTTTCAGTATAAAATCTGATTGTACAATTCCAGGCAAGTAATAATGTGATGAAATGATTTTCTGCAGGAAAAACTTCTATCCAAATCATAACAGCTAAAACCATCTTCGGGTTCATATCTTTATTAGAGATAGCGTGACTGTATTTTGTAGAGTGTATGAATGTATGAACAGCTATTTAATAAAATCTATTACAGGAATACCACTTTTGATCAAGGATCTCCTCTAATTATAGGATCATAGAGTTAATGTTTATTGATTCAAAAGGTACTGCCACGGCCAGGCGGATAAATAGATTGCATACCTACAAGGGCGTAGCCAGCTTTTACCAAAGGGGGGGCCAAAAAATTAAAATTTTGATTAAATAATGCACGATGCATTTAAAAAATAATTTATGCATATGATCAATGAAAAAACTTCAACAAATCCAACAGATCCATTTTAAGGCGAAATAGTGCGTCATATTAATGAACGTGTGGTCGACTTTAAAAGGAAAAATTTTTTTTTTTTAGGGGGGGGGGGGGGGGGCAATCTTAAAAGTCTGCCCCAAATCGCTTTTTTGTATAGATTGGTTTTTGATATTGAGTGGAAATATATATATTTTATTCAAGCCACACTTTGAATAATTCAGCATGCCCACTGATGACAATTTTAGTTTTCTCCTGCGCTTGATTTCCTCTTTTTCGGTTAAGATTCTGAAGTCCACATACATATTGCGTTATTTATTTATTTATACGCCTTATCCTAGCGTTTCGAGTATTGGATTACTTTTAAATTATTACGCTAATCATTACAAAATTAATTATATTGAGCTTATTATTAGGTTATTTCATATGTGTACTATATTTGTAAGCCGCAATAAAAAGCTACGAGGTTTTAAGAATTTCCAATGTATAAACAATAAAGTTAATTGTTGTTTATATTTTGTGCTTCAATATGGAAAATAATAGTATATACTCTTCACGAATTTAAGAAAATAATTTAGTATTATTTGCCTTCAATTTGTATAATAACTCAAAACAAAAGAAATTCTATATCATTATATATAATATTATATATTATAATTTTATATATTTTTTTATTCTAACAATTATGTATTTTTTTGAAGTAAAGCTTGAGAAAATTGTTGATTTATTGATTCAATAAAACGTACCCATCTTGGCTGAGCAGTTGCAATCTGTTCTCCAAATGTCCTCCTAATATTTAAGCCTAATAAATAGTAGTATATAATAATATACACAATGCAACCTATTCAGGATCTATTATATTTAATAAAGAATTATTTATTTTTCCCCTTATAAAAATTGTATTTTTAAATGCAGTTTCCATTGGTGCTAGAGTTGACGATTTAAGCAGTTCAGTTGAGTCATTACTATTTTCCCGGCCTGCATGACTTTCTATGGATGCACACAATTCGTCGTATATACTATTATATTTGGCCCATTGTACAGTGATACTAGTTACATTCATGAAATTTTGTGAAATAATCGCAGCACATTTTTTGTTTGTTTATTGTACTGTGGCGTCCACAAATGATTGTTAGATGGGTTTATGTTAAGGTTGAAATTCGGGGCGTTGGCCAAAAGGGTGGAGATGTTGGCGCTGCTGGCTGTAGGAAAACTACCAAAGCGACAATTTGTTGTTGTTGGTGCTGATGATTAAAATGCGAGATTTATTGATGTATTGATTAAATTAATTGGTTTTTCTAAAAGAAACTTGCCAATTGAACGCATGACTGCTCGCCATTCTCTGCGCTGCTCAATAGTTGGCATCTGCGAAATATATTTTGGGCGCGCTGCTCTGTTCTATTCTGCCTCAGAAACTATTTGTGGCGTTTGTCTATTTGTTTGATTACGTTTAATTAAATTTCTGTCTGCGGCATTGCTGCAATAATTACGCATCGACGTGCTATTTCTGCGCAATTAGTCGCTTATTTTTCATCTTGTCAATCAGTTTACAATCAAATGAAATTCCTTGGCAGCACATTAAATATGGAAATGATGCGGCCGAAAGCAAACGTTTTCCCCCCAACTGTGTGTGGACTTAGCAAGATGCATTTTCTTGGCTCGATGCCGTTACCAAAGGGCGGGGGCGGGAGGGCCTGTGCAACAGAATTATTGCAAGTTTTTGTTGCCAGCAGCACGTTGACTTATTCAGCAGCAATTTGTCATTTGTTTCGCATGCCCAAAAATAAAATATATGCATTTTTTAGTCGTTTATGCATATGCTGGTACGATTTCGGCATATGTATGTATCTCGGGTGCATATGGCACCATCATGTGCAGATGTGCCCTGCAAGAAAACCCAAAATAAATGGCCAGACACAGACAAAAACATTGCAATGAATCGCAAAATTTGTTGGCAAACAAGCAAACAAATGGCACCTACTCTCTTGATGGATGGCTACTAGAGGGCCCAGCTAAAAGTAAATTGTAACAAGGCGGGGGCATTCAGGTCAAATGGCAGTGTCAACAAAAGCCCACCGAGCTGGCTATATTTGTCATGTTTACAAGACTATTTATTTATGTTCATATCTGAGACAAACATACATATGTAGCTCATTAATGGTGATAATTCCAAAATTTGTTAAATATAATTTTATGATTCAGACAGATCAAAATAATGTTGCTAATTCAAGTAATGTTGAAAAATGTTTTATCCATCTCTTACTTCTTTGTATTTGTTTTATTATTTAGAAACCATATAGAAACATTGCTTGTATTTTATTTAAATATATCAACATTAATAATCATTTGGATTATTTGAAAAGTGATTGGAGATCTTGAAGTATTGCAAAATTTATCTTTCTTTGTGTACAAATATGACGAAGTTATGTATCAAACAAGTTATCTGAGACATAGTTCATATTTGGTGATTATTCCAAAATTTGTTATTATAATTTTATCATATCAGACAGATTAAAATAATGTTGCTAATTAAAGTAATGTTGAAAATTTCTTTCCATCTCTTACTTTCTAATTTAATTGCTGGACTATCAAGTAATTGTTCTGTCATGTATTTGTTTTATTATTTAGAAACCATATAGAAACATTGCTTGTATTTTTTTTAAATATATCAACATTAATAATCATTTGGATTATTTGAAAAGTGATTGGAGATCTTGAAGTATTGCAAAACTTCTCTTTCCTTGTGTACAAATATGACGAAGTTATGTATCAAACAAGTTATCTGAGACATAGTTCATATTTGGTGATTATTCCAAAATTTCTTATTATAATTTTATCATATCAGACAGATCAAAATAATGTTGCTAATTAAAGTAATGTTGAAATGTTCTTTCCATCTCTTACTTTCTAATTTAATTAGAAATTATTCAATTTGAAAACTTCTATATTGCTCCATTAGTGTTAGTATTCTATTTAAATACAGCAACATTCATAATTATTTGGATTATTTGAAAAGTGATTGCTTTTAAAAATAATAAAATATTAAAGTATTGCAAAATTTCTCTCACTTTGTGTACAAATATGACCCAGAAATCGAGCGGGTGTTTCGATGGGGTAATTTTTTTTTTTTTTTTTTTATGTTAAGTTGTGTTTTGTGTATAAAAGCCATTTCTTAGATATTTGCAATGTACGAAATTATGTATCAAACAAGTTAAAAATCTGTGTAAGGCTTGGTATTTCTGCGCTCGAAATGTCAAGAATATTGCAGAAAGCTTTCGATAAACTGGCTATGTCAAGAGTGTAGGTAAAGCGTTGAAGACGAACTACATCCAGGATAACCAAGAACATCAACTGATGAACAGCAGAACACAAGTTTAAAAGAACTGATGTGCCCTGAAAAAGTGAAATCTTGTTTAATTTCTGAAAACCCTGCGTCACATTTCTCGTTCTTCGAGACCATTTCGTCCGAAAAATAACGTATTTTTCTCCACAACCATTGTATTTTGTATAGTTAATCAAACGATTAAGCTCCATCTGATTAAGCTAATAAATTTGAAAACATCAATCAGGGAACATCGGCTTGAAGCGATTGAGGGGACTTAAGCCGAATCGACGAATTTCCTGGAGGCTAGAAAAGGAATTTTTTGGACTGCTTCGAGAATTGGAAATAGCGTTGACATATGTACATTATGGCGGAATTACCTTGATTTTAATGAATAAGTAAAGATTTTAATGTTCTAATAACCAGTGCGGGTTATACTTGTATTTGTATATAGTAGTACATGGGAAAGGTATTAAAAAAAGTTATTTGTATTTCTTTTAACTTTTATTTCAATTAAGTTTCAAGAGCACTAAAATAAATATTACTTGCTAATTTTTAGAAGATATCTGCGTTACTTACCATCATAAATTGTCAATTATTGGCGAAGTTAAGTGATTGATGCATAAAATATGTTCTATAGAAAATAATTGGATAAGAAAACGCATTTGATGTTATATTTGCCTCTCTCTGCTCCTATTTGTTTATTCATCATATTGCTGGTTTTTAAATCAATGATGTTGACATTTATAATTCACGATGTTGATTGATAGATAGCTTAATTGATCCATTACAAAATCGTGTATTAATATGCTAATATACGTATGTTGGTCTTCTTTGTGTCAATACCTTAAGTGTATGCGAATAATCTTAACCTACAGCTCAGTAGATATTATTATAAGTAGCTTGCGAGTAAATTATTTTTCTTTTCTTAATGGGTTAACAAATGTATTGCTGTAACTTATGTTTTTTTTTTGTGATTTTTCCTTTGCATCAAACAAATAAACGATTAACGACGTATAATAAACGATAACGCTATTAGTGTTTCAATTACCGATCGATGTCGGTGATTGACCATAAAAATGTTCCAAATCGTAGTCAGTTGTATAAAGTCTTTTGTCCGATCGTCGTTTATATTGTACGTACTTGTATACCTACAAAATTCTGCCCCGGCTGCAATGGGCCGCTTCGATATTTCGAGCACGCAAACTTGATTTTGTAGTATTCCATATGGGTGGTGTGGTGCTTTGTTGGGGTAAAAGGTGGAAGGAGCAATAAGAAACTGTCAGAGTGTTTTTGTGTCAGTTTGGCTGTTTGAAACATTTTATTAGTAAGAATGTAAATAAAATTACAGAGAGTCAATTATTGGTATACTTGTATGTTGTATCAAAAGAGACCAGACCCCTTCTTATGTAGCGACTTATTGAACAATTAAATCAATAGGTCTAAATAGAACAGGACGGCGTGAGCACATGAAGATCGCTCTCTGAGCTAGTGTGTGAACTTGTTTGTAGTCTGGGACAGGAGATAAATGTACTGCTAGTAGGTGGGAGATATGTGTAACAACTCGATCTGTAGCTTCCAAAGCTAATTAATCAGTTGCATATGACGAGATAGTTAACGCACTTTAATCATCGCCGCCAGTCATAACTTCCATGAATTCTATGAAAGGTAGGAGAGTATTACGAAAGGTCAACACCGGATTCGTGCTTTGCTCACCATCGAAATCAACGGTGCCCGAACCGTCGGAATCAATTTCTTCAATCATCATGTCCAGATCATCGTTGGTCAGCTTGTCGTCCAGTTCCCTTAGAATTTCGCGTAACACTCCGGTCGTGATGTAACCGTTGCCCTCCTTGTCGTACAGACGAAAGGCTTCCTTCAGCTCAGCCATCATGGCCTCGGCATCTTCCTCAACCAAGAAGCGGGCCGCCAGCGTTGTAAACTCCTCGAACTCAATTTGTCCGGAGCCATCCTCGTCGACCTCAGCAATGATTTCGGCCAGCGTGGCGTCGTCCAGCTGATGGCCCAACATGCTGAGGATGGTGCCAACCATCGCGGTGTTGATGTATCCATTCTTCTCTGGATCGAAGGCATTGAAGGCATTGCGCAGTACTGCAGGGAAGGGGGAAAGAATGTCAGCTCGAGATAATCCAAGTCAGTCACAGTACTTACGCGCAATTTGTTCCTTCCCTAGTTCTTCCTGTAACGAAAAGAAAAGAATATAAAATTAATGTCTGACCAGAATAGTGCTATTCTCTGCGGCTATTAAAAGAAATGGAGATATATATTTGGTAGCCAAAAATAACAATTGAAGACATACACATTTTTCACACACAAAGTATGCAGACAAATCAGAAGGCTAATTACTGATCACTCGAAATTATTAAATAAATCAGGTATGCATCGGTTATAATCCATTTGCTTTCCGGGGCCACTTACCATGATGGCTGGTAGGGTTCACAGTTTAGACGACAATACAGAAAGGACGTTCAAGACAACAATAACAACACAGGCGAGGCTCACGGATAATTTGAAATCACAACGACGAGTTTTGTGGCACAGGATCAAGGATATAAACTATTGCGAGCTTGCGAATTTATTTCATATATGTATTAAATATTATTATTAATTTTTAATAGTGAGCGCAAACGTTTTGGGCCGAACCGTCGCGGAAACTAAAGTGAAGATCAGTTATCGGTTGAAAGCGAAAAGAACGTTGGCAGATAGTCGGTGTTGGTTGTCGTTGTCGTTGTTGATGAGGATGGCGGCGAAGTGTTGTGGCTGCGGTTGCGGTTGCGGTTGAGGTTGTCGTTGTTGGGTCGCACATGCGCCTATACTCGATGCGTTGAGAGGCAGCAGCAGAGGATGAAGAAGACGTAGTCGTAGACGTAGATGAAGAAGGCGATACTAAAGACGTTGAAGGCGTAGAAGACAGGTGTAGTATTACTACTAACAACGCTGCCACCACTCAGTGGAAAGGCGTTAGAGACGTGCCAAATAGTAAGGAGCCACCGCTAGGCCCCTCCACTGCTGCTGCTGCTGCTGCCACCACCGTTGCCACCACTGCCACCGTTGCCACCGCTGCCACTGTCGCTAGCAGCACCTCCTGCTGTTTCAATCGAAGATGAAGGAATAAAAACGCTCGCCGCCCGAATGCGACAAATTATGTTCGCAGAGTCTTCAGAGCATTGCAGCGACGTCTTTAGCGGCAGCGCAGGCCTCTGAAATCTGCAGTCGACGCAGCCCCGTGTCTGCAGCATTACAGCAGATTCAGATACAAATACAACGACAACAACAACAACATTAGAGTCCACATTTTAAAATGAGGAAAATGTGCATATTTTGTTTGTTGCGCTGCGTTGTCGCAGATTTGCACTTGTTAGGAATTTTTTGTGAAGGTGCACGCGGCCAGCCCGCCTCCCCGCGTCCCCGCGTCCCCTTGCATATGACAAATGTGTCTATGCATCTGCGGTCTGCTGCTTTTATTTATAACTGTATATTAATGTATCTTTCTTTTGAATGCATTTTGCACTGACGAGTGCGCCGCGTTCTAATGTGTGAAATATTTTGTCTCCTCTATATATTTTCGGCCTTTCAAACGTCGATTATTTTTGCATTTTTTTTTTTTTTTTTGTTTCACGTTATTGTTTGCCTTCGGCGTTGATGTTGCCAAATAGTTGTATGTATTTTAAAACTAGGCGATTCTCATCTGAGCAGCCCATGGATACATCGATGGGAAAGCTGTTATGAAACCTTTACAGCCCACAAACTTTGCATTCATCGTTAATAATTATGAGTGCCGAATAAATTCAGCACGAAGTGTGTATTGTTTATGGATTTTTCAACTCTGTCGGACCAGAGTCTGCCATTCTAGATAAGCATTTGATAATAAACAAAGAAATATTTCTTAGGACGCTTGCTGATATTCAATATTTTTAGGCATGCTGTAGAATATTAAGCTCTTCAACAGATAGAAGCTATTACTTAACAGAAGCATTTTATTGGGATTACAATTTAAGTTACAAAACGCGGTAATTAAAAAAATAAATAAACTCGTCCTTTCTCGGACCTAGGAGAATCTGGATGCTAACTTTGGTTATTCTAGCTTTTATAGTTTCTGAGATCCTTGCGTTCATCCAGACGGACAGACAGACGGACGGACAGACGGACGGACGGACAGACGGACGGACGGACATGTCTAGATCGATTGCTTTCGTCATGCTGATTCAGAATATATATACTTTATGGGGTCGGAGATGCTTCCTTCTGCATGTTACATACTTTGCACAAACCTAATATACCCTTTTTACCCTACGGGTACAGGGTATAAAAATTGAATGAAAATGCAAAAGCCTACAAATAAATAAATAAATTCATTATGAATATACATATGTAGGATTTCTGAAATCCTTGACGTTTTCAACATATGTATTTTTAGAAAATTGAGTTCCCTATCTTGTCAAATAAAGCAATGTGGAATATAGAACTAGTTACTGATTTTGGAATTTTATAATCAACCGACTTAAAGTGTAATGAAAGAAATAATCAAGCGGCATAAAAAGAGAACTCCAAAGCATTTTAATGAAAAGAAAAAGAATACTGGACTTGCAGTTTATGTCATAGAAGAGAAGCTCATTAAAAAAAAAATGTTGCTTTTATTAATATTATATTGATAATCGCTATAATAATAATTAAAATAAGAACTCGTCTAACACTGCTCCTCCAACTAGTATTTTGATATCTACTCGTATACATTTAAACATAGATATGCATATTAGTTATGGAAATGCTTTTAAACACCTTCTAAATGCGTATACTAAGCGCAAATTCTATTTTAAAATATGATTCTTCAATTGCAGTTGCCATTGCATTGCTTTTACCGGTCTCGAGGTTCATTTTTATAATCGTATAATTGTTTGATGCAAAACGACAGCAAACAAATTGTAAGTGCCTTTAGAAATTTATAGCTGTTTCATTGTGATTTCCCATCCCCCTTTGAGTGGCGAATTCTCTTTCAAAATGTTGTCATAATTCGTTCGTTTGGCACCAAAATAAATAAATTGCTGTAAGTTTATTGCCGCTTGCTGTTGAAAGCGTCTGTAACCAATTCGTCGTCTTGACGTCGCGTCGCGTCCCGTCGCTCTTTCAGTTGCCACTGCCGTATTTATTTTTAATTGTACCTGGGCAATGCAGAGCGTAAGATCCGTATAGAAATAAATAAACATCCGAATAACAGGTAGTTGACAGGCAGACGTCAATTTGCTCGAAAAGCTTTTAAAAACTAGAAGCGATTATAGTGCTTAGACAGGACGTCTACTTCAGTGTTCATTTGCACATATTTTGTGTTCAAATCGATGAATGAATATTTATTTTACTTATTCTTTCGATAATGGCATTTGACACTGGACTACTCCCAATGCCAAAATGATGAGTTCAACAATAAGAGACCAGCTATTTATTTTTGTGTATAGTATCCCCGCTTTCCAATATCTCTTTGCCACAATTTGGACAATTCTCTAGTCTAGTTTTCGGAGTTGTGTCATACGGCCTCAACGAAGCAGTAAGCAGTTGCTTCTTTGAAGCCCAATACTCGTCCATTTGTCTGCATGAACACCAGTACCTTGAATCGCCAATAATTAATTGGCTCCGGTTTCTCGAGTTCCGAGAAAGGTTATAGTGATTTACGTACCACTCCACTTCCCCCTTTAAAGACAATTTACTATACTTAGCTCCTCTAAATCTTGAAATTTATTTCACAAACCTTAATGAACAAATTTTAATGTAGTCTTAGACGGAAATCTAATCTTTGTTAATCGGGGCAGATTAGAGTTCAATAATAATAATAATAATAATCAACCTGCACCTAAGAGTTTAAAAGTAGGTGAAAATACTGGGAGTAAGATGGAGTTAGAAGATGACCATATTGCCATTATTCGTCATTCTATATGAACGAAAAGATATGGAAGATTTGGCAGCTAAACTAACCAAACGCATTAGTCTTTGGAGCCACGAAAATATGGTTTTGTTTTCATCTTCCATCGTTCAATTTAATCGTTGTATAACGAGTTCTAAAAGCAATAAACTGCCTACCCAATCAACCAACCACGAATCAGTTCTTTTGAATTGAAACCAGATGTACTTAGATCTTTCTTATTGTTGGAACTTATAGATCAACAAAGGTTGCAAATCGATGCACAATTACATAGCTTTATTCAAGAGAAAATTAAGTTGACTGACATATATTTGACCCCTACAACAACAATATTAAGAACAGACAATGACGACTGAAATAATCTTTTTATGAAACAGTTAATATTTCGTCCAACCATTCATTCCAGCCTTCAATTAAAAGACTAATGATTGGTAGCATAATCATGAACAGTCAATATACTGCGGCCATTTACAAAATTTCAGGGGGGCAGGCTAGACTTTAAATAAATTTCAAAAAGACATTGTTAAACAGGCATTATCTTCCACAACTCAGCTGAAATATGCTGCACTCAAAAAACTTGGATGAAAGTTGGTGAGCGGTGGAAATACACTGTCAACTGCAAAATTGCGCATAAAAGGTGTAAAGGTGTAAAGATCACAAACTCACCCAAACCCTCCTGAAAATCCAGGAGCCAATGCTGAGAAGGCGGGTATTACAATGGATAATACGAGTAGATGAAAAAAATTCAAGAAAATTGGTAGCAATAGAAACGCCTTAAAACATAGCATGACGCTAACGAATCAATAAACCGCTCTCCTAACTGATTTCCAACATCTCAAACCAGGTCTTACCTAACCTAACCTTATACATCTAGCCCTCTAATAAGCATCTTTTTAAAATAATGTTCAGCTTCTATAGTGTAAGAAAGAGATTTTCAGCGTGTTAAGACCGAGTTCATATAAAAGGAGGTTAAGCGAGGGGTAGGTGTATATAGTATTTGACTTATACTATATGTAATGAGAATCAATTACCAACCTATTGAAAAGGACTGCACTTCTATATTAATTATCCTGTGTATGGGCTTGAGAAATCTTTATAAACTGTGATCTGAGATCGAGAAAACTGAACAGCAGAACAACGTATGAATTAAAAATATGTTATGTTTGGATTCATCGTAAAGGACTTTATCTAACCCTAAAGTTGCTATATAACAATTGTTTGTTTAGCTCTTCTATGACGCTAATTGGATTTACAAACCATTGATAAATAAATTGGTAATTCAGTTTATATTTCGATAAGAATCTATAGTTGATGAAAATCCGGGAAGTAGCCGTGTTCTTCAATTAATGTTATCATCTTTTTGCACACAAATCCAAACAAATTTGCAAGTAAGTGAAGTAAGTAAGTGGATCTACGTAAGGGTATCCAGTGAATCATCCAATGAAACCTTTTTCTTTTTTTTTTTTTGGCATAAAGCTCTGATTGTTTCTGGTTCAAGGATCACTAAGGTCATGTAAAACTTGTAAAAACCGATGCAATTATTTTCCTGTCTGACCACAAAAAAATAATGACACAAAATTGACTCGAAAATGCAAAGCAAAGAACACATCCTTATTATGAAGTGGCAAGGTCGGCAGCAGGAAGAGTACCAACCATTGTTGAGTTGCCCATGTTGGAGTGGTGTTTGGTGCTTGGATTGACTTGACTTAATGATGTTCCTTGGATGGGCTAGCGATAGCTCATTTAAATTTGTTTTGCAAAAGGCGCAACGCGGAAATTTTGCCGCTTCAACTAAATGACAGAACTGAACTAACTGGACCAACCGAATATGCTGATGGAGGCGAGCAAACGGACACATCCATACGCACACGCTCGAATGCGGCCCCGGCCCGTAAACACCACACCAAACACACATACATCTATACGCCCGCACAGTGACACACACACACACACACACACACACACACACACACATACCCATACAGACACACACACAACCAAATCGATTTGGTCGTGTAGAAATGGCGAGGAAGCGCCCCATGACGTCGACGATCGTTTGAGACTGTTTTCTTTTGGAAATCCACTATAAATCCCCCATTCAAAATCGAAATAAAGTCAACACGACACTGC